ACTATTTTTGTTGACCTTTGTCCATGGAAGGTCCCTGCAAAATTTCATTGAAATTGGTTCAGGGGTTTTGGAGAAGAAGTCGAAAATGTAAATTGTTTACGGACGCACGACGGACGACAGACGACGGACGACGACGGACAAAAGGCAATCGCAATAGGTCACTTGAGACTTTGTCTCAGGTGACCTAAAAAGTTGGAGACAAAATGCACAGAAATCTATTTACCCAATCTCACCTACTCCAACAGTGAATTTCCTTCGCTCTAATGTCACTTACCATCTGGAAGTCTCTCTGGTAGTAACAAGCCCCTCCTACCAAGCTCAGCTAGTGCCAGGCAACCTATAACGGGGAAAAAGTGGGATATCAATCCCAGAATCGAGCTCAGCTATAGTGCCACGCAACCTATAACGGGGAAAAAGTGGGATATCAATCCCAGAATCGAGCTCAGCTATTGCCAGGCAACCTATAACGGGCAAAAAGTGGGATATCAATACCAGAATTGAGCTCAGCTATAGTGCCAGGCACCCTATAACGGGGAAAAAGTGGGATATCAATACCAGAATCGAGTTCAGCTAGTGCCAGGCAACCTATAAGGGGGAAAAAGTGGGATATCAATACCAGAATCGAGCTCAGCTAGTGCCAGACAACCTATAACGGGGAAAAAGTCGGATATCAATACCAGAATCGAGCTCAGCTAGTGCCAGGCAACCTATAATGGGAAAAAAGTGGGATACCAATACCAGAATCGAGCTCAGCTAATGCCAGGCAACCTATAACAGGGAAAAAATGGGATATCAATACCAGAATCGAGCTCAGCTAATGCCAGGCAACCAATAACGGGAAAAAAGTGGGATACCAATACCAAATTTCAGTTATATGGATCAGTTAGCAAACCAGAGTACAAGGTATTCAAAATATACAAAATATTACAAAGATATCCTGGTTATCAAGATTTGAAATCAAATATCAGACTTACCTCCATGCCAGGCCCCATCTGTTTCCTGAAAGGTAAAGAGCTCCAACACTGACCCCACGACCTCGTTGGCCAGCTCCCTTGGGAGTCGCCCTGTTACTCGACCAATCCTACAATATTTGTGGAACCATTCGGTTAAAACGGCCATCGTGTTTATATTTGAGTTACATCATGTTATCAATAACTAAAAACTATTTACTAGGTATTGAAACATATTCATACATTTATTCAGAAATCATTTTTATTTATTAGTGTATGATTGATGAGTTATTTATTGAATTTAAAAGTTATTATTTTGAAAACAGAATTATTTTGATTTTGACTAAATTGAATAAGTTACTGTTCAAAGAAATTGTAACAATGTTTTTGAGATACAACAAGATTATTAAATCCAACTGAAATTGTTCAGACTAAAGAGATTCCGCTTTATTACAAAGGTCACAGTGCCTCACCCTTTGGCTGCTGACCATCTGACCACTGTGTCCTTGTCTTTAAGTCCACTCAAAAGTTGCTCTGAAAAAAGAGGGTGTGTCCTTAGCAACTGGTGGATACTTTGTGTGCCTTTAAACTATGTCCTTGACAGTTTCTGTTCCACCTCTGTCAAGGACATCTTACCAAGAAATCTATTATTTCATTCCATTTGCCTGTCACTCTATTATCTCAATCAAATGGATGTCATTTATAATTGTAAACTGCACTATCTTTATTTTGGATTTTATACAGCACATCACCCCTCAAATGAGACGAAACAATATCATCTTCAACATGGTACCCATTCTGTTATATAAATGTTATCGATACTACTTCCTCTGTGTTATCTAATGACCCATGACCCTTGGCATGACCTATAACCTTTATTTTTATCCTCTGGGATATTTGTACCCAAATCTTGCTGTACCACTTGACCTCACCTGTAATGAATCCTTGCTGGGGTGGTCCTGTGGCACAGCCCCCCCACCCCACCCCCCCACCCCACCCCTAACGTGCTAACATTTGGGCAAACAAGAGGGCCCATAGGGCCTGTATCGCTCACCTGGATATCTAAGCAATCATGGCAGAATATTCTCCAAATGAGATCCAAGGGATTATGCCAGACCCCAAGGCCAATCCTTGTAGCATATATATCTGTATTCAATTTTTCATGCCCAGCAATTTCATGTATGGTTATGGGGTGGGGATCTCAACTGTTTCCAAGTTGTGACTCAGAAACTAGGTCCCTACGGTTGTGGCCAGACCCCAGGATCAATTCTAATATCATGACTGCATTTGTCTCTTTATGCCCAACAATTGTAAATATAGTTTTGGGGTGGGGATCTTAACCATTTCAAAGTTATGACCCAGGGGTTAAGTCTCCAAGGGTGGGGCAGTCCCCAAGGCCATCCTGGAAGCATATGTGCATTCATCTCTTTGTAATCGGCAATTGTCTATATGGTTATAGGGTGGGGATCTCAACTGTTTCCAAGCTGTGACTAAGAAACTAGGTCCCTAGGGGTTCGGTCAGACCCCAGGGTCTATTCTAATACATGTATTGTGACTGCATTCGTCTCTTTATGCCCAGCATTTGTATATATAGTTTTTGAGTGGGGATCTCAGCCGTTTTTTAAGTTATGGCCCAAGGACTATGTTTCCAAGGGTGGGGCCAGACCCTAGGGCCATCCTGGAAGCAAATGTGCATTCTTCTCTTTATACTCAGCAATTGTATATGTGGTTATATGGTGGGGATCTCAACCATTTCCAGGCAATAAACTTTTTTTGGCCCCACCCCTTAGCCCGGGGGGTCAGCCCCACCATTTGTACAATTTTGAATCCCTGCCTCCCATGAATGCTTCCGACCAAATATTATCGATATCCATGGCATAGTTTTACAGAAGAAGTGGTTTATAGCAATCTAGCCAAATTGCCCCCTTTTGGCCCCGCCCTCAGCCCCCTGGGAGGTCAGCCCCACCATTTGTACAATTTTGAATCCCTGCCTCCCATGAATGCTTTTGATTAAATATGATTGATATCCAGTGCATAGTTCTACAGAAGAAGTCGTTTATAGCAATCTAGCCAAATTGNTCCCCACCACCTAAGGATGCTTCCAGTCAAATTTAGTTAAATTCAAATCAGTGGTTCAGAAGAAGAAGTCGTTTAAAGAAATTGTTGCGGACGGACGACGGACGCCACGGTATGGCATAAGCTCACCTTGGTCCTTTGGACCAGGTGAGCTAATAAGAATGATTAATATAAGTTGAAATAACTTGTTTTATAATTGTTGTAAAAAATACAATTTGATATATAATGAATCCTACTTTATTATACCTCAACAACTTCATCGCCTCTGTAATCCTACTGACCTCGGACCCCAGTTTTATCCTCCAACCTTCTAACCCTTTCACCTCCTAACCTGTATACCTACCCATGACCTCTTCAACCTCCTCTGGGATGTCATATTCCTCGTCCTCCTGTGTGATGTTGGTGACAACAGTCGACTGTTTTTCGTGCTGATAGCCTTGTTTGAGGTTATCTGCCAAAGAGCGGCTCCCTCGCTGGTATCTAGTCAACATATATATGAGAGTATGAAACAATTAGTCTTTTTTTTTTTAATCCTTATTATTGTAAATGAGTAAATATAGAACCATATAGTAGGAATATAATAGGGATAGTAATAAACGTACATGTATTTAACGATTTTGTGCTGAAATCTGAAAGTTTCTGCCCGTCAATTAAAAATTTGGTGATCTCTCTTAAGACTGATGTGGGTCTTTTTTTTTTATTAATTTGGCATGTACTGTTGTAAAAATACTGGTTTATTCTCTACATAAGCTAGCTCATGATCAGTACCAGATGGCACCAGATCCATTTTTTTCAACAAAAAAAGTGTAAGATATGCATTGATTTTGTAAAGCCTATGGATTGCGAGGCAACAAACTTATTTCGCTTAATTTGAAAATATAACCAGGTATACACAGCTACTTGGTATAGTGAAAGCTGCTCACTATATTTATTCTCAACCTAACATGTCATTTTACCAGCATTTTGCAATTTTTTACAACAATCAGTATCATTCTGTACTCTTGGGAGTGTTACTGAAAATCCTTCGGAGCTATTCCATGTTAAAGTGAACACAAATCAGAAAACGGAAATGTTTGTGACTTTTTATTTGACTATTTTAAGCCTTAACAATTTAAATGTTTGCAATTTACATAATCAACTTGTCAAATTAAAGCTCTGCTTAATTTAATTACTGTAGAATAGTTTAGAACATCTTAAGTTAAGTTACTGAATATATTAAACTGAACATATTGCATTATTTTGAAAGTATCAAATGCTCACAGATGTACTGTTAGGGATCAAAAGTTCCTGAAACAATCAGGAATCAAAGGGCACAGCCTTGAACTTTGTGAATGTTCTGAAATTTGTTGAAAAAAAAATTTCACCGATTCCTTTTATGCCAGACATACTTTCATAAAAGCATTTTCCTTTTTCATAATTCTTAACCATAGTGGCCTAACATGAATAAAAACCTATCTATCAGACAAAAACATGAAATTCATTCTACCATTCGTTCAGTGCAGTATCTGACATACCTCCATGCAGCTACTCTGTTTTTGAGGAAAGTAAGACCAAGCCTCTGAATGACCTTGATGCCGTTCTTTCTGATGACACAATTGTTGCTGTCTCGTACCTTCAAGTCATTAACCTTTGTCAACACGACTGGTGCTAAAACAGATGACAGTGTGTAAATGTCTGTTAATGTGACCTTGAACAAAATTAACCAATAGCTAGGATCAACTTGCTTCCATTCTGGCTAGCATTCTCTTCAGATTTTTTTTATACATACTCTATTTTTTCACACTAGTTTTTCCATTGTCTCTTTCTATATGTAATTTTAATATCTGTATTTAGATCAGTTTTTTTTTCACTTAAAAGTACTCCATCTCAGAACAAACACCCTGTGATGACTAAGTAACTGTTAACAGAAAATGAAAGATATACTAGGTAACCAATAAACATATCATGTGTTTTAGGAAACAAATTTAGTGAGTTCATAAAAGGAATGAGCTTGAGACTAGTCACTAGTCACTAGGTCACTAGTCCCCTTAAATGTCATCTCTTGTCAAAAAATAAACGTTCAAAAGTATGACAGGATGCCACCATTTGTTTTTTTATTTTTCAATTTAAAACCTGCTGAGTACCATTCAGGTTTATCAAAGGAGTACAAGTAACAAAGTTGCATCTTCCATTTATAAATATTCAATTCCCTTTGCCCAAAGATTCTCTAAAACAAGTTTGGTTAGGTTAAAATCCCTTCAACGGTACAGAAGGAGAAGGATCTTTAATGTTTTCCTCTATTTCCCCTAATGGGCCCCACTAATCTGCCCCAAAGAAGGGGAATCCACACACCTCAGTTTAAACAAAATTGATTCTTTTCTCCCTAAGCATGCTTCAGACTGCATTTGGTTTAAATCCCTTCACTTGTATAGTAGGAGAAAAAAAATCCTCTATTTCCCCTATTGGGCCCCGCTCCTATGCCGCCAGAAGGCCCACACCCTCCGTTTATACAAACTTGAGTCTCCTTTGTCCAAAGATGCTCTAGGACAAATTTGGTCAAAATCCTTCAATTGGTTGAGGAGAAGATTTTTAAAGATTTACCTATTTTCCCCTATTTGGCCCCGTCCCTCTGCCCCCAGGGGGACCATACCCTCCGTTCATACAAAACTGAGAACCCTTTGGCCAATGATGCTCCAGACCAAATTTGGTCAAAATCCCTTCATCGGTACAAAAGGAGAAGGATATTTGATGTTTTCCTCTATTTCCCCTAATGGGCCCCACCCATCTGCCCTTAGAAGGAGGCCCACACACCTCAGTTTATACAAAATTGATTCTTTTGTCCCTAATCATGCTTCAGACTGCATTTGGTTAAAATCCCTTCACTTGTATAGCAGGAGAAAAAAAATCCTCTATTTCCCCTATTGGGCCCCGCCCCTCCGCCCCCAGAGGGGCCACACCCTCCGTTTATACAAACTTGAGTCTTCTTTGTCCAAAGATGCTCTAGGACAAATTTGGTCAAAATCCTTCAATTGGTTGAGAAGAAGAACATTTTTAAAGATTTACCTTTTTTCCCCTTATTTAGCCCCGCCCCTCTGCCCCGAGGGGGGGCTATACCGTCCGTTTATACAAAACTGAGAACCCTTTGGCCAATGATGCTCCTGACCAAGCTTCAGACTGCATTTGGTTTAAATCCCTTCACTTGTATAGTAGGAGAGAAAAAATCCTCTACTTCCCCTATTTGGCCCCGCCCCTCTGCCCCCAAAGAGGCCACACCCTCCGTTTATACAAACTTGAGTCTCCTTTGTCCAAAGATGCTCTAGGACAAATTTGGTCAAAATCCTTCTATTGGTTGAGAAGAAGAAGATTTTTAAAGATTTACCTATTTTCCCCCTATTTGGCCCTGCCCCTCTGCCCCCAGGGGGGTTATACCCTCCGTTTATACAAAACTGAGAACCCTTTGGCCAATGATGCTCCTGACCAAATTTGGTCAAAATCCTCTGAGCCATTCAGGACAAGTAGCATTTTAAAGGTTGACGGACGCCGGACGCCGGACGACGGACGCTGCACCATGGGATAAGCTCACTTGGCCCTTCTGGCCAGGTGAGCTAACAAAACTAAAAGCAGACTTGACCTAACACATATTTGTTAAACACTCACCCTATCACAGTGACCAGAAGAAGATTAGGGCTGCAGTTATCATATTGTGTCACGATACTTCTCATGTATCGTTTTGTATAGTTTTGTTTGCTGTATCGCGATACACTAAAGGAACTGAAATTATCAATCTTTTTATTATTATTAAACTTTAAGAGTTTACTTATCGCCCTGAAATCCTTTAATAAATGTGTTGCCCACTTTACAAAGATACTAAAAATCATACAAAAATACATTTTGACAATAGTTACAATACGTTTATAATTAAGTTTATGGCACCACTCTGTAAAAACCTACACTAAATCATTATGAAGTTGACCTTTTGAGCAGATACATGTATCGTGATACATATCGTATGTATCATACCATGATACGTATCATATGTATCATACCATGATACGTATCGTATGTATCATACCGTGATACGTATCGTACCGTGAGATATGCGTATCGTTGAAGCCCTAATAAGGACCACACTACTTCCTAGTTGTCTGACTTACCATACTCCAGCAGGTCCTCCCTTTTGCCGTGTTTGAAGAGCAGGGCAGTCATGGTCAATATACCGGTCACCTGGGTCATTCCTCGCATTGTTGTCACTGTAAGTACAACGTAAACATCATGAGCTTTTTTTTAACTGCAAATACAAGGTAAAGATTAACAGCACCTTGTGACTCTGGTATATATCATGGCATAGTTTTTAACTGTAAGTACAAGGTTAAGATTAACAGCACCTTGTGACTCGGGTATATATCATGGGCTAATTTTTTACTGTAAGTACAAGGTTAAGATTAACAGCACCTTGTGACTCTTGCATTGTCTGTGCTGTAAGTACAAGGTATATATATATCATGGGCTATTTTTTTTCTGTAAGATCAAGATAATCGTATGACACAATGAACCTCACTGTTAGAACAAACTGAATGTTAATAGAATTTTTCCCCAGTGTGAGGTTTAGATACACTGGAAAAGGAGAACTCAAATTCTTTTGGAGGTCCACGGAGGAAAGTTTTTTTTCTATCCTGCAATATTTCATAACCCAATACTACTTCATCTATTCTAAAGAAAGTGGTGTTAAGTTATGTTTTTTCCTTTTTGTTTTTTTGAAATAATGAAAATATACAGTAAATGTTAAAAGTGATGCAGATCCACAGCATGTCAGCATTAAGTTATTTATTAAAACAAATGTTGATCCACCACCGTAGATGTTAATGGTGATGGTGATGGACTAACATTTGTAATCAGATTGGTTATTGAGGCTTGTCACTTACTGTCAGAGTTCATGAGGATGTTTAGAGTCCAGTCCAGGAAGTCGGGCAGTCGTTCCTTTTTGACGTCTGGTCTGGTGAGGAAGCGTGAGGTGAGGTAGGCAGCCGCGTCTCTACACTTGTCATTCTGTGTCAGGTACATCTACAACAGCAAAGTGGGTACGAACTGATATAACACTAGGTTGGTTTTACGTCCCCTACACTACCAAGTATTTTGGTAATTATTGGACATAGTAAATTCAAACCAAACCTGACAGATAGTTATGGAATGGCAAAGTTTCACTGAGGTTCTTTCCGAAATATTTTATCAAGCCGGATTGAATCATTTTATTCTTATTAAGCAAGTTTGAACCATCTTATATTCTCTTTTAGTTGTAATTATTTTGAAATGAGAAAAAAAATACAGTGAAGTGTTAAAAACAACAGGCTTTTCACTAAAGTAAGAGTCAATCAATGACTGTTTCACAGCTGGAGTGTCATTATCCCAATTTTGGTGTTATTGTGGAGCAGCAGTTGCTGGCGTGTGGCCACTATCAAAAAGAACGATGAACAGTGAAGGTTTTTCTTTTTTCTTTAAACAGCAATTATGAACAGTTTCTGAATTAAGAAGATAAAAGAGGACTCACTCGGGCCACATCAAGTATCCGCTCCATGACAGGTCGCCGCCTCTCTCCGGACACGCTGACTGCATTACTGTCCAGTCGTACCATGTCGAATGGTATCATACACACCATGGATAGCCATAGAATCAACATGTAGCGTGATTCCCATGTCTGTAACAAACAAAATTAACTGTGTGATTCCCATGTCTGTGAGAAATGTGTGATTCCCATTTCTGTGAATAAATAATGTGATTGCCATTTCTGTAGCAAATAAATTTTTGAATTGTGAAACAACTTTTCTCTCTAAATTACAAAACCCATCATTAAACACATCTTCAAGTCACCCATTTATTTATGTACAGAAGCCTCTCTTATTCAATCAAACTAGACATTTAACATTTATCTTCCACATTTCCTATTCACATTAAACTATTTTATTTGAAGTACTGTATTTACAAACAAACAAAAAAGGGAAACCAAATTTGGGTCACAAAAGAAGTACTAACACGACAGACTATTACACTTCACTCTGAGGTAGTGAAATGTACCGATACTCAAAGTAACCGGGATAAAGGCTGTAACTGAATTGACCATCTGGAGAAAGGTTTTTTTCTGAAAGTTTACTAACCTGATGGTCCTCAGGATCTTGTTGGCTAATTAAAGCAAGGACTGGTTCAACATCAGCCACCTCGTGTGGAAATTGTCGCACAATGATCTTGTAACCCCTCATCTGAAACATCAAAATGAATCACCAACCAAAGTTAGAAATTAGTTAGAAGAGAAAATGTTAGAAATAAGTTAGTTTCGCCATGTTCTCAGACATGAAAACTTATTCATAATTTGCTTGCATGGTAAATTGAAAAAAAAAAATGATAATAAGAGTTTTGATATGTAGTTTCACTTACCCAATTGTGATGAATGTGGAGATTTCATGAATTGTCTGTATTTTTATATATGCTTGTCAAGAGGTAGACATATTTTTGAGCGTACTCAGTTGTCTCCCTCCATTTATCTTGAAGAAGTTATTTAAATTACACTGATTTATCTCCCTTAAAAATGTAATGTGGTATCTTATGGCACAAGATGTTTCTCATATCTTTGTGCTGTGGTAAATCTTTCAAATGGCCGGAGTTGCCTCCCTTACCGTTTGAATTTTTGATAAGGTAGTGGTAATTGAATACCACAAGTTGTCTCACTTATCATATTTGTGATGAAGTATTGAACACCATGCATTGTTTTATATTACTTACCTTTGTGATAAGGTAGAGGTACTTGAATGCGAGGTGAATCAAAGCTGGTGGAGACTTGACATCTCGGACAATATCCAGGATCTGTGTCATCAAAGATTCTGGAAAAGACATGTATTGCTGATCAAAACATTCTGTTTTTTCATATACCAGTTTATTGTGAATTATTGATTATTATATTTCCTTGAAAAATGTCTTAAAAGTGAAAAATACACAACTAAAAATACTTCTCCCCTTAAACAATACCTACAGAATATAACCAGATTAGAAAATATACTTAATATGTCACGAGTTAAAATTTTGACTTTTTGAGATTTTTGTTGTTTTGATATTTGTGTCACTTGCATTTCAGATAATCTTTGAATATTTCATGTACAATGAAAATTATTTCAGAACAAACTAAACTACCATAAATATTTAAAAAGTAAATGACCAATAAAACCTTTTAACCTTGCATATGTTTATAATAATTGCCAACACTCTGATATTAAAGTCATAACTGGTTAATACATCCATGTTATAGAATTTTCTAATGAACATCACAGTTCAGCAAACCATTTTTTCAAGTTCCCACCTGCAGATTGGTCTCATTAAATATTTTAATATTCATGTATATTATCAAATGTATTAAATATACGAACATGTTTCAATGTACTTTTTTAAGAACAAGAATTCATTGCATTATAACACAGACTTACCCAAATGAGAATCAATCAGGTGGGGCTGTTCCTGATAGTCATCAGTGATGTCTAGAAAATGAAAAAAATCACATATTTAAGCAATAAACTTATGTAATTTAGAATCTTAAAGGTTGGAAAGATAATACACTGTGTATGTTGTATATGTTCAACATAACTTAAATGACATAAATATCTACATACAATATAAGTTTAAGATTAATAAATCTCTCGGGTCAGAGAGATTATATCAAATCAATTAAACAAAGAAGAGGCCCAAAGGGCTTGTATCTCTCACCTAGATAATAAAGCAACCATGTGAAATTATTCTTATTACATAAAATCCCTCCAATGGAACAGAAGATTTAAGATTTTAAAGTTTTAAATCTCTAATTTCCCTATTGGGCCCCGCAACTCTCAGCCCCCAAGAGGTCCAAACCCACCGTTTATACAAAATCGAGCCCCCTTCACCCAAGGATGCTCCAGACCAAATTAGGATTAAATCCCTTTATCCCTTTGGTAGAAGAAGGATTTAAAGGTTTACCTCTATTTCCCCTATTCGGCCCCACCCTCTGCCCCAAGGGGGGCCACACCCACCGTTTATACAATATTGTGTCCCCTTCGCCCAAGGATGGTCCAGACCATACGAGGATAAAATCCCTTATTCCTACAGTAGAAGGATTTTAAAGGTTTTACCTCTATTTCCCCTATTCAGCCCCACCTCTTTGCCCCCAGGGGGGCCACACCCAACATTTATAAAAAATTGAGTCCCCTTGGCCTAAGGATGATCCAGACCAAATTTACTGGGCGATTCAGGACAAGTAGCGTTTTAAAGGAAAAGTTGACTTTTACCTCTATTTCCCCTATTCGGCCCCCACCTCTCTGCCCCCCAGGGGGGCCATACCCACCATTTATACAAAATTAAGTCCCCTTGGCCTAAAGATGCTCCAGACCAAGTTTAGTCCAAATCTACTGGGCGGTTCAGGACAAGTAGCGTTTTAAAGGAAAATTTGATGGACGGACGACGGACGCTGCGCCATAGCAAAGCTCACTTGCCCTTTGGGCAGGTGAGCTAAAAATGGAAAAAACATACACACAAACAACTATCACCGGTCGATTTTTGTGTGTGTTACCACTAGGGTCTGACTTGTTACTGCTTGGGACCCTAGGTAACTTGGGGTTACAAATGATGACACATTATGTCAGTTCCACTTCCTTTATTCAAGTCCAACTTCATATCTTATACATGGAAACTTAATTGTTCAATCCATTCCCTTCTGTTTCCATCTCCATTCTTTCTCCTTTAGTTCTCTTCAGTCTCACTTCCCAAGATCTCTCTGTAATTCTATCTCTGTCTATCTCTGACTCTGTCCTTGGTCTCTCTCCTTCAGCTCTCTCCTTCTACTCTGTCCACCTTAGATCTCTACCTATTATAAAGACAATATAACACTACTTCTACTTAACTAAATCTTCTAATTCTATTGGCTAATTCCATCCCTAGGAGGCGGGGCTACATTTCTCTTTTAGAAGTCTTTTGATGACCATTTCCCTGTCTAAGGACCACGATTAACTTATCAATGCATTATACTAAATGGACCTTACATCCACACACCATTGTCCTTCAACCCTTCACACAGACATTCCCACACACTCCATTCCCTTTGAGTTCCTACCACCATGTGTGTCCTGGTCATCTCCTTTGTTAACAATTACAATCTCTTTTTAATTGCCTTCTTCTTACTCTTCTGATCTTACTCACTACCATTTTTCATCTGTCATAAATGCCTCCTCTTCCTTAAGTTTGTTCCACAAACTTCCACAAAAACAATCTCACTTTTTGATTGACATTAACAAATTCACACAATTACAATCAAAGGGTTATGATATATATACTAACATACATAATATATCTCATGCAAATGCAAAACACACCAACAAACAAAAATATATCATTATCCATTTACGTATTTATCAATTCTATCAAGATAAAAAAAACACATCTAATTCCTTCAATAATTGGTTCAAATACATTGTCCACGTCTTTGATTTTGTTTTATCCATCCTCTGAATGGGGCAATTGTCCGCTTGGAATTGTATTGCCATCATTTAGTATGTCCATATTGATGTCCAATCCATTAACGTAATTTCAAACACATCTAGTAACATATATTTAGATTTTCTTCCACAAAACACTGTACACATTTGTGTCCTTTGACCCAAAAGTCTCATTCAGTGTAAATACCAACACGTTGCACATATAAATGTAGGTTCCATGTAAAAACATTTAGCAAAATAGGCTTCCACTGATAAATCAAAATATTGTCCGACATTAACCTGACGTCCTCTAAATACTGAGGCTCTTGATTATCATCTAATGAAAAATGAATTTCATGCCAGTCTGTGTCAATTACACTTTCAAGACTGGTTAGCTTCTATATCTTGCAGTTCTGAGATCTCTTACTTTCCTTACTCAAGCCAAGACTTCAACCACCCATGAAACAATAACTGTAGTAAATTTTCTTTTCTCAGTCTTTGTCAATAGACTCATATCATGTAACTCTTTAACATGTATTACCGGTAATAATATTGTATCATCTCGATATCTGTCATTCATTCTTAACCTTCTAGGTTAAATCCCTGAGAAAAGATATATATCGGTACAGTTTTTTTATACTTAAAAAGTATGGTTCAAGGGGCTCTTAATGTCGTGATCTTTACCTCATGTATCATAAGCCCTTTTTCCAAGCAGAACCTATATGCATCTAGTGAAAAAAAATTCAATCAACCAAAGTTCCTAATAGTGTGCGCAATTTTAATTTCTATCTTTAGACTTAGAAACATAAAAATTTCTACTAAAAAGTTAGCTTACAAAGCCCATTCAGTAAAGAAAAGGACCGAAGTCTTAAACAAGAAGCTCTTCAAATACATAATATGTAATACCTACATGTGGACTGCATGTTGCAAGTGTTAACTAATCGTGATCAATTACTAGCTACAGTTTAATAAGTTTATTTACATAGATTTGGAAGGGAACTGTTTTTTTTTTTTTTTTTTTTTCCAACTACACTACTTGCCTATCCTTCCCTTTTTCTTACTACGACCCTGGAGAGTTCTATTTATGTGGTACTCTCTAATCAAATGTTCTGGAAGCGTTTCTCCCTTTTTCCTTATTGTCATAATGCTTATTGTCCTTATGCTTATTGTCATTATGTTTATTGTCATTCTGTTTATTTTCATTCTGTTTGTCATTCTGTTTATTGTCATTGTGCTTATTGTCATTATGCCCGTCTTTTACTTTAAAGACAGGCGCATACCCCTATTTACTGTGATTATGCTTTTCCAATGGCTTTTTCAATTTCAGAGATCTACAGACTGCCTTTATATGACCCTTTTTTCCACGGTGGTAACACTCTGCATCTTGGAACCAACATTTACGTGCATCATGCTGGTACTTACCACAGTGGTCACATGGATTCTTTGTTCTCTGTCCATTTTGTCTGTTTGATGGCCTCACACTGTTCACTCTTTTTTCCTTTAGCTGGTTAAGTTCTTGCTTGCTGGTCTCGCATTCCTTCTTCAATAACAAAAGTTCCTGTTGAAGGTTTTGAACTGTTGCTGTTACATCTTTTGTTTTGTCCGAATGTCCGATCGACTGTGCCATGCAACCAAACTTCATGATGTCTACTACAGTTGTAGCTTCTTTTCCTAATACAAATGACTTAACTTCCTGATCCAGTCCATTTATTAGCACATCACATATCTCCTTTTCAGTCCTATTCAACTCAATCCCCTTAGCTTTTACATGTTCAACATAATCCTGTACATCACTGCCATTTTGTTTAGAGTTCAGGAATTCTTAAACTCGACTTGGCCTATCCAGCTCACTGGGGAAAAATCTCTCTGTAAACTTCCCTATCAGCAGCTCCAGATTTTCCTGTTCATCTTCCTGTTGTGCATAAAGCCATTGCTCTGCTTTTCCTTTTAGCAGAAGTGAAAACTGAAGAGCCTTTTCCTCATCTTTCCATTTTCTAATTCTGCTCACTTTTTCAAATTTGGAAAGCCGTATCTTTGCACAACCTTGTCCATCAAACTTCTCAAGTATAGTAATACTGTCCTTTGCTGCCATTTTCCTTCTCCTGTTTGTTTTTCTTACCAGGGTGTAGATGTTACAACCCTGGTGCCCGGATTCTCCACCACATATCACCGGTCAATTTTTGTGTGTGTTACCACTAGGGTCTGACTTGTTACTGCTTGGGACCCTAGGTAACTTGGGGTTACAAATGATGACACATTATGTCAGTTCCACTTCCTTTATTCAAGTCCAACTTCATATCTTATACATGGAAACTTAATTGTTCAATCCATTCCCTTCTGTTTCCATCTCCATTCTTTCTCCTTTAGTTCTCTTCAGTCTCACTTCCCAAGATCTCTCTGTAATTCTATCTCTGTCTATCTCTGACTCTGTACTTGGTCTCTCTCCTTCAGCTCTCTCCTTCTACTCTGTCCACCTTAGATCTCTACCTATTATAAAGACAATATAACACTACTTCTACTTAACTAAATCTTCTAATTCTATTGGCTAATTCCATCCCTAGGAGGCGGGGCTACATTTCTCTTTTAGAAGTCTTTTGATGACCATTTCCCTGTCTAAGGACCACGATTAACTTATCAATGCATTATACTAAATGGACCTTACATCCACACACCATTGTCCTTCAACCCTTCACACAGACATTCCCACACACTCCATTCCCTTTGAGTTCCTACCACCATGTGTGTCCTGGTCATCTCCTTTGTTAACAATTACAATCTCTTTTTAATTGCCCTCTTCTTACTCTTCTGATCTTACTCACTACCATTTTTCATCTGTCATACAACCATAAACACACACAAGACCTTCTATGATAAAATATTCAATAATGGTTTGTAATATTAGACAAACATATATGTTTCTGTATAATGCTGAAGTATCTATTTCTGTGCTGTACCATTTTCTGTGTCTGACATTTTGTATGCATACTGTCAGTTTGCTGATATCTTTGTTGAAGAAAATAAAGCGAAAACATCTAATTAACTATTTTACTCAAATACATCCAGAAAATTAAAGTACCGTTTTACTATTAACTTTTATATAAAGTACAACAGTTGGCGTTCAGGTCACTGGAATTTCAAAATATATGATGCCCCTATATATTTTTGAATTAATTTCTTTCTTTAGTTTTAGTACATGTACAAGAATAACCTTAATCTTAAATAACTTATTATCTCCTTTTACAGTTTTGTTTCTGATGGTTCAGAAATAGTCAGAAGATCCTCAAACTTGTACGCTGTGTTTGGTGCACATGTCAATTAATGTTTTCTTGTATACTTGAGTATGTCGACATAAGTTTCCATGCACGCCATTACACTGATACAAACGTTGAAATAACTTTGTAAACTTCTTCTTCTTCCACATAGTTGCCTCCTTCGTCTTATCAAAGATTATGCAATGTTTATGATACACAATGCGCAGGTGAACACACAATTGAAAAGTTTAGATTGTAAAAGTTAAAAAGTAAAAACACTGATGTAGTGTCAGACGTTTAAAGCTGGTTGATTCGACCCACCAGCCTTAAGCCTAGTGAGTTCGGGGTCGGTTAGAAGTTTGAGCTTTTTTAGTTCCAATTCGTTGAGAGTTTTCTTAAAGGTTTCCAAGTTTGGCGAATTCACAGTTTTTGAGTCAAGTTCGTTCCAGTCTTTTATTGTTCGAGGGAAGAATGAATATTTTCTTGGGCCTATTTTACATGCCTGAATTTGGTAGGACCGATCGTGTTGTTTTCTGGAACTCCTCATTGGTGTTTCGATTCGGTTTTCCTTATTGATGGCTATTTGTTTATTGTCAATTTTAAACATCATATGGAGTCATGAGTGACGTCTTCTTGTTTGGAGTGAAATCCAGCCTAGGCGTTGGATCATGGATGAAACGCTTGAACAGTTTCTGTGGCTGTTCATGATAAATCTGGCTGCTCTCCTTTGGACCGATTCAAGTTTGTTGATGTTGTTAAACATTTTTTCTGCTGTGGCATTTCCATATTTGGACCCTAGGTAGCAGTATTTAAGGACTCACACAACTAAATCAGCCAATCAGCAAGTGTTTCATACAATTCTAATCCCTTCCTAAAATGTGTTCCTGTTAAACTACAGTACCTCTGAGTAATTTAAATGTGTAAATATTGACATATTTTCTATTGAATGAAATCAACAGACCTTTATCTTTGGAAAAATGTATAGTTTGATTTTAATATGTGATGGCAGATTTGTATAGGGTCAAATGTCAGGTGGTGTTTCAGAGTGTTTCTGAACCACTATCTCGGTTTGGCTTGTAAACTTCAGGCTGTCAAAAGCAGAAACTTTAAGCCTGTAGCGCTCTTATGTAACTAAACCTGCAAAAAAAGCCTTTTGAAGCCTTTCTCATGTTTTTATCTAAGAATATAGACAGTTGTCACTAGTGTTGAACTTCAAATCTTAACGCCATTAGCTCAAAAGATTCACTGTACTGCAGTACAGTACAGTATGCAGCGAGTCAGTGCTATAAATAGACAGCACAGATCTAGAGCTCGAGACTGGGCACGAAATAGCGTCATGCAATGTAACCCGAGTTTATCTGGTTCTGACACCAGACTGCGATATCAGACATTTATTTGACAAAATGTCTAAGTCTGGTGTCAGGGCCGGAGACACTCGGGCTACGTTCAAACAGTACAGACGAGACGTCAACAGCCACTGTCAGACTGTGGAGCAAATAAAGTTCTGCAAACTGACTTTCTATGTAAAATTTAAGACGTTGTTGATTATCAACGTAAAACATATCGCTGTTTAATTTGCTTAAATTCGTATATAAGCTATTTCGCCTTAGGGGCTCAGAAAATAGTTACCCGATGCTTTATTTGCTGTGTGACTCATCATGCTAACAAACTCTAGAAACTGACGAACTGAACTGACTCTGCATAACTTACATGTAAAACGTTCACAAGACACCTCCAATGCGATTTGGTCATTGTAGATATTTTTAAGTCCGGCAATCAGCCCTTTAAATTCTTCAATTTCCTTAAATTCTTCCAGGACGTGCCCCTTCCCATATGTCTCGATATCTGACTGCTTCTCGTTGTCAAAACTATCAACTCCAGCCGCCATGATTGACTTCTCACGGGATTTTGCGAGAATTAGATGAGTTTACTACTAATCACAGTCCGAGACAAAATTTACAAAATAACAAAATGCAGTTAGAAATCCTTAACTTGTTTTACCCATATGAATCGTGTCCATGACACAAATTGGCTCTTTAGATATGGAATATTTATCATATTTTATAAGTTAAAACGCTTTTATGTTAATAAAAATGTGTGATGTGGGTCGGGTGTGTATTCGAGTTGTCCCCCTTTCTATATTCGCTTCGATGGGACTAACTTACAAATTGAACAGGCCTAACGTAAATGCTTCATGTTTAAAATAAATATATGTTGAAGTATGTGGCACAGGAAGTGTGTCACATATAATTAAAGCGAATGTAAAATAGCATACCCGAAATTTCGAATTTACATAATAATAAGATTGAGTAGATCTAGTTCTTGCAAAATTACGAAAAAATGCTTTTGAACAACAGAACCTAAAATATTTTTGTTAAATGAACACTAAATAAATGTCACACATTCCCTCTAAAAAAGTGTGTGTTTATTTTTCTCACCAGTCTGCAATAATGATGTTACTAAAACTATTTTAAAATTGCAAAAGAAAGGGCGACTGGTGTTGACGGCATATCTGCCAGACCTTTAAAATCATGTATTACCCGGGGCCCCTATCAGTAGTGTCCTATAGAGTTTCTATTCAAAAATGTGTTTTTCCAGACACTCTCAAGTATGCTGAGGTTTATTCCAGTTTTTAAGAATAATGACCCACTGTATAAAAGTAACTATAGACCAGTGAGCATACTTAGTATTTCTAAAATTTATGAGAGGCTGTTCCATAATCAACTTTCATTATACCCTGAAGATATTTTTAACCCTTTGCTCAGTGCCTACAGGACTGATTTTGGGTGTCAGACTGCCCTTCTGTGCACGCTGGAGGACTAGCGAGGGGCCTTGGACGGTCGCAACTTTATTTTGTTGGGGCCATTTTAATGGACCTATCAAAGGCCTCCTGCATGACCTGTTCCTGAGGAAGCTATCAGCCTATGGTGGTTCGCGAGAGGCTATTGGTCTCTTGCAAAGCTACCTCGGGAACAGGAGACATTGGGTCAGACTGGGGCCCAGCATCTGTGACTGGAAACTATTCAGGGCTCAATACTTGGGCTGATGATTTTTAATATTTTTATCAATGATATTTTTTACAACATATTAAGGAGTCCACTTTGTATAATTACGCTGATAATAATACACTAAGTTACATAAACGAAAGTGTCCAAACTAAGAAATCTGTATTAGAAAGGGAGGCCTCCATGCTTATCGAATAGTTTTACAATAATGGTATGAAGGCTAACCCTGACAAATTTCAGGCCATATGTTTCGGGCCTAACTTTAAAAATAGTTTTTCTCATTTTAATATTTCGAACACCAGCATCAAATGCGAAGACTCGGTGAAATTACTTGGTATTGACATTGACAACCTTTTAAAATTTGATGGCCACATTTCAAACATATGCAGGAAGGCATCAAGGCAGCTGGCTGTATTGAAAAGAATAGGATTATTTTTACCGAGAACAGACAAGATGCTCATTCACAACTCTTTTATTCTATCAAATTTTGAGTACTGTCCTCTTATTTGGCATTTTGGTCGCCAGCCTGCAACCAACAAAATGGAGAAATTACGAGAAAGAGCCTTACGTTTTGTTTTAGATGACTCCGAGTCTGACTTTAAAACACTACTGCTTCAAACAAATTCTTCTTTCTTATAATAAAATAATAATTCTTAATAATAAATAAAACGCATGGAAATGATGGTATGCGAGATTTATAAAACTGTAAACAATATGTCTCCTGGGTATGTACAGGAATTGATAATCAAAAAAGTATCCAATTATAAAAATACAAGAGGAGACTGTAGATGTACCCAGGGTTAGAACTACCAGGTATGGGAAAACATTATTTCGGCGAGAGGCTGCCCGCATATGGAACTGTCTGCCTAACGACCTACGAAAGGCTGATAATTTTAAGGATTTCTGCATGTGCCATATGTGTAATGTAACACACCTTGCAAACTGTTCTACCCTGCCTGGTGATTCTCTCCTGTCATGTATATAGTATTTTACTGAAAATATAAACCTGAAATCTGTGATAAATTCTGTGCTACTTTCTAAAAAAAAAATATGTATTTTCATGAATTTAAGTTCTAGATTTTTTTCTCATTTTTGATTCTGTTAAAATTTAAACATACTAGTCCATTCTTTTAACTTTAAAGTACTGTATATGAAGAAATTGATGTTTATAACTTTCTTAAACTATATGTACTATGATGTGCGCATATTGCAGGTCTCACTGGTAGGGGGCTCCCCAACCCTTGGAAACTTAATGCGCCACATGATGAACTGTAATTATATATGCTCATTTGTTTTATTTCATGTATTGTGTTTGTCTTTACTTATATCATATACATGTATTTCTATTTATCATGTTTGTCGAAATATACAAGCTCCTGAGAGCTAATGTGTATTGTTCACCCTATTCGACGTTAAATAAAACTTCTTGTGTTTCACCAACAACTACTGAGAGACTAACTTTAATAAAGGGTTTAATAAAATAATTGGCCAAAGTACAGCAAAATCACGGTTATTTCCACATTTCCAGGGACACTTCAATGTCATCTGTTCATGATATATTGAGTATAAGGAAAGACATTAAATTGAGATGTGTTTTTTTTTTTTTTCAAACAGACGCATTTGGACAGATGGGACATTTTTCTGTCGACAAAGTTTAGTATTTCCGTCTTTCTTATTACTCATTTTTTGTTGGATCTATGAAATAAGTTATATCTATCAAGATTATCTGCTTTATGATTAAGTCATAAATGTTTACAAAGATTATCTTGAATACTTTTTTTTACCACCGGAATTCAACAAGGAGGTCTACTTATAAATCTTGAATAAATTTTCGGCACCGTTGAAGAACTGTCTTTTTAAAATGTTCAATTTCGCTATTACCGTGCATGTTAATATACATGTCAAATATGAAAATAAATAAAGCGTTTGAAAATCCTATATTTTCTAAAGATTATTTTGAAAAAATAGTTTATCTGCATAAATTTGTGGCTTGCATTTATGAAAGTCCTATTTATATATAGTTTAATTACCGTTTCGAAATTATGATGTGTTTCTAACATCCAGTTTATGCTTGTACGTGACAGTACCCAACAACCAGATCTCGGCAGTTCAAAATTTCAAAATTTTAAGAAACTGTGTTGTAAAGATTTTTGTGCAAATAAGTCTTGTGTTTAGATGAAGTTCTTGAACTCATTCTTTGGAGACTAATTTAGTTTTGAGTTCAAATTTTTGTTCTACAGCTAACCCGACTTAGAAAAGAGAGTAAATCGGAAAAAAATCAGTTGCAACAGGGCCAGCAATCGGGAACAGTCGGCATTTTCCGTTCACAAAAAAAGAAATACATAAAATTAACTCGTTTACGGAAAGTGACGACTGCTCCCGACTGATGGCCATGGGCCAGCAACTAGAACTGTAAGCCAAATGATACCACCGCTTCGTCATGAAAATTGTTCAGTTTGAAAATATATATCGACTATGTCAATAGATGTAAAATTCCTTATAAAAAGTCTATCAAAATATCATCAGCTGTTGTCAAAATTCAACGAGTTCCTAATATGTAAGTCTGGTTTTACTAATGCTCCCACCCTCCTCCACAAACTTAAAGATGGACTTTCTGCCCTTATATGTCCCCATCCCACATATTACTAGTATGAACAAAGTCGGTAATCTGCTTCAAGTCTCCAAAATTCCTCCAAGTTACTGAAGAAACAGATGAAAACGAGCTTGAGTACAGAACAAGAATTTGTGCACGAAAACATTTTCATGCATACCGGCATACATTCACACCGGCATACCGGCATACAGTCATACCGGCATACAGTCACACCGGCATACAGGCATACCGGCATACAGTCACACCGGCATACAGTCATACCGGCATACCGGCATACAGGCATACAGGCATACTGGTATACCGGCAAACAGTCATACCGGCATACAGGCATACAGGCATAATGGTATACCGGCATACAGTCACACCGGCATACAGTCATAAAGGCATACAGTCACACCGGCATACAGGCTTACCGGCATACAGTCATACCGGCATACAGTCACACCGGCATACAGGCATACCGGCATACTGTTTATGACTTATTTCAAATGTCCATAGAGTGAAAGTTCACGTGTAAATTAAATGTTTTAAAATCTATGCAGGACTACAAGTGGCTATAAAACACGTTATATCGCTCCAAGTTTACCTGTCCATCTTGGCGTATTGCCCATGTCTTTAAATACAAACTGCACAATTACGCATCACCGATGAGTGCCAGAAGGACGAAACAGCTGTATGATGCAGTGTAATTCATATTTGGTATACCGTATCCATTGCCAGATTTTAAAGGTGCAGTCACGTGTGAGTTTGTAACTTAATCGTTTGAGAGTTTACTGTTACCTAATTGCGGCCGTAGATGACAGCTGTTCACCAGTTTTGTTGCTACTGGTTACTTCTGCTGCATTTTATGTCATTGATCATGCTTTATTACTCGAGCGCTTGGAATATGACGTATTTGTTTATGTTCTTTCCTTGATCCAGTCCTATATGACAGTCTGTCATTTTCCGATGAAAGACGCATATGATATACTCAAGTATAGTAGCAATGGGTTCTACACCTAATTAGATTTTTGGTCATCGGTCAAGGTTAAAGGCTCAATGGGGAATAGGGGTGGTGGGGGCATATCTATGTGAGCCTCCGCTCATTTTGTTTATCTTATTACAGATTTCAGATTGTTTAAGGAAGAAAAAAATAATTATTTCACATGAAGATTGAAAAAAATCACTTGTTAACATTTTGATGTGAAGTGACGTATAAATGTCGTATTTTTGTTACAGTAAGCAAACTGTAAGATGACCTCTACCGAAATTAAAACAAAGTGGAAGAAGACCCGCATAGATAAAGCAATCCAAGCTTTTTTGCTTCAAAATTGGTCAAGCTTAATATTTGCCCATGATCCTTAAACCTTTCACTTTGACCGGTATCCGCCAAAAACTCTAATCAGGTGTAGAACTAAATGGTACCATACAATGGTGTATATTAATGTGTCGGGAGGTTCGTGGGATACCGTGTACACAGGCAATTTCCTCAAGTAGTTGTAAAGTGTGCTTTGTGACCGTGACCTTTGACCATTAAAACTTGACCAATGACCATTAAAATAAAATCAGGTATAAAACTTGATGGTATCATATTATAGTGTAAATATAAGTTTTGAAGGGTTCATAACATATCTTGAACATAAACTTTGTTTAACAACGGACGGACACACAATTGATGTATTCATGATGAACTGGAACATTTGATCATAATTGATTTTAGCTTACCACAGAACAATTATAAAATGTCCATTATTCGAAATATGTAACTCTTACAAAAGCTTTTTACTAAAAAAATGGTCGTGTAATCTTTGTTTCTTTCGCTTTTATTATCGATAACTCTTGGCCCTATTAGACCAAGCAAGAAAGTAGTATTTGTGCGCTTTTATGCGTTCCTCTGCAGTTGTGAAAATTGTTTTCTAAGATATATGATAAGCAAAAGGAGAACAAAGAGAATGTGTTTCATTATGTTTAATATTTAACAAATGCTATTTTAGAAATCGATGTGTATTCGATGTCCGTAATATTTTAATGTTAATTTCTACAGATTCCCACGTTTTCGCTAAAGTCACAATATAAACAACAAGTGAAGTAAAAGTGTTAATTTGTCTTGAAATGGTTGCCGATGAACACACTAACAAGAATCTAAATGAAATGCAATTATACTGAAACTGATATGATATTTAAACGAATGACGATAGCATGGATTGTGAATAAAATGCTATTTTGTCCAAACTGAGACCTTAAAAAAGCACCACCACAGGTATGGAATATGTAGTAAAATGTATTAAAAAGCTCCTGTTCAAACTGTTATGTCTTTTCATCACGTCCAAGAAACGGTAGGTTTTGATAGAAATACGTCTCGAACGGTAGGCCGGAGTAAGTTTTATTTCGAAGCCACTCTTCCATACAGGCGAGTGCCATGGGTTGGTAGTCGTAATAAAACTTATTGGCAAATATTTCCTTGCGCGAAACAAGTTCTTGAAGATCTCCAGCCCCGTACACACATACGCCCCTCACGAACCTTCCGCGACAAACACTCACACCACCCCAGATAGCGTAGGTAGCCAGCCAGGGCTTCTTGTCTGGAACTCCTGAAAGGAAAATAGAACAAATATTTACCATATCGTAAACGAGACATGAAGCAAATCAAACGAGAATAGTAATTTTCATGAGACGATTTTCATCGGATGTCATAAAAATTCTATGGAAATGTAACAAGTTTGGGATTCTTTTATCAGTTTTAATGAAATTTAAAACATAACTGTTGTACTTTTCGTGTAAGGCAGTTATGTGGTTTTGTAAACATGATGTAGAAACAAGAGACCATTGGGCATAGACCCATAGCCTTAACTCTCTAGGTAAAACCGTTAGTCAATCTTGACACGAAAAGACCGCGTTGGAAATATATCTTTACAATAAATAATGTATTCATTGAATATTTGATGATGTTTATAGAACCAAAAACAAAATAAAAAATATTTCTTCCCGAGAACACCGAAATAAAAGCATTTGACTTAAAATAGAACTATGTTTATGCTGCAGGTAGTCCCAAAGGTCTGGTAAACAAAATTGAAAACTGTAAAACAACACTATATAGCTGCAACTCATGAATCATTCATAAACGTCGAAATACAAACGCCTCGGCGCCAAATGTCTTGTCCTGCACTGACAAATGTACATTTGAAAACTAATTCTCCAATTACTGTATGACGACTAGGCAATTTTCATGCATACATCTTTTATTTATTCATTTATGTGCACATTGAGATGAAGTCCGAATTATTCTGACGTCTTATCGCCTTTTTCATATCGGTCTGTCGTCGATTAACCGACGACAGACCGATATGAAAAAAGTCGATAAAACGTCAGAATAATTTGGACTAATTGAGATGATCATCTTCTAGGTTAAATTCATGATGGTGATTGTAAGCCTTTTTTTGTTAGATAATTATAACTTATACTATTATCCAGAAAACCCTATAATTTCATATGTTGGAACACCAAAATATCACTATTACTGATTTTGTTGTATACAATTATATGAATTAACCCGTCTTTTTAAGCAGCGAATGTAACACTCACTGCTGAATGGAGACAAACTTATAACTGCAGGGCATTTTGTTATACATTTTCGTCGTACGTGTATTGTTACTGTTAGGGTAATTGCAATTTCTACAAACATTATATTGCAACTGGAGGATGTAAATAACCATATACATGCTAATTATGTACAATAGACTGCATTCGTTGTGTGTGAGAATATGCTTGGATGCATGTAATATTTCCGGCATTATATATAAATATTTATCAATATGTAATCCAGGATAGTGAGTTCAGTGTATATCACATTTGCATGTATAAGCGTATATTCATCAATAAAATATAACTATATACATGTATGGCAAGCCAAGTTGTCATTTATGCATGGAGCAATGTTGNTGTCTCGAAACGAATTCCTGCAGTATATTGTGGATAAAATGTGAGCATCCTTATATCTAACCTAAAGTACATGTAGCTAACTATCTAAACATCACTCCCTCTAGACAATCATCCGTCTACAGGTTAACGTTGGTATATCTCTAAACCCTAATACACGTATTCTGTGGATCTCTTAACCTCAATACCTGTATATAGTGTATACCTATAGATATATGACTATACATGTAGCTTTGAGAAATCATTTCTGAAAAAAAAACAATCCCTCGCGGAATTTTTATGAAAAATAATAAAGATAAAATAAGCAAAATTTAATCCATAAAAGCGTTCTGGGTGTAAAAAAAATACATCGGGGCTACACACGGAACTCGAACTATCCATCTAACTGATTGAGTCTCAAGCCGACTACAAATATAGTCGCACAACGACATTAAGGGGAGGTTACTGTGTATACGAAAAACCGCAGTGCAGCGGAACAGGGGTCTTAAACACACACTTACAAAATGTATATACATACTTATAATGAATCCATTTCTCTTCTTGGACTTCCTATATATCGAGTGCCTGTTATCTCCCTAACAAATACCTGTCTGTTTCCGAACAGGGTTCTCCCCAGTTTTTTTTAAAGCTGATATGTTTCTTTTTTAACGAACTTTCAAGACGGACACGCTTATAATTATAATACCTTATAAATAGGTACTTTTATTTACCAAACTTTTGATGAACATTAAAACCAAAGAAAGAAATAATTGTCCCTTATGTCTGATTTTTTTCAGCAATATTACTGTTTAAAATATTCTAAAAAAAATACAATTTATAGAAAGGTGTATGAGTATTGTACATTGAATAATAGATATGACATTTGTGTCTTATCTTTACATTTGTATTCCTTACTTTATGCCATTTAAAATAATTTAAAGAAGAAATATTTAAAAGCTGTTAATGTTACATAAGGGAAACACTTACATGAAAAAGTTTATATCACAGTTCCTATTATGTTAAGAGAAAATGTTTAAATAAAATGTGCAGTGTTTTTATTTCCTCTAAAATTGTATTAAATACTGCTTTTAGTCAATTTGATCAAAGATTAAAACCGCATTTCTATTTGGGTCAAAACAACAAATCCGGATTTTCATTCCGCTTTCCGGTCTGTACTTTACACAATCCAAGATGGCGACCATCACTAACTGAATACACACGTTACATAATGCAATCATATGCGAGTAAATTAATTGAATATGACTCAGGCATGGCCTGGAGAGAGCGAAGCTCGTACATTTGTTTCAATAATATAGAATACTTTTTTAATCATAACATTACCCATTTTAATATATACAAAATGTACCTGTAATTGTTTTTTTATTATATACTTGAATCTGTTGCTGGGCAAAATCATACATCCTTGTACTTATGTGTGCTCTGTTTTAGAATGATCCACATTCACACTACACAAATATGACGCATCACATGTTAGTTTGAAGTTGACTGACTATTAGACCATATTGATAGTAAAAGAATCATCATTTGGTTCTAATTTTATCCAAGAATACCAGTATGCTCATAATAATATGTATTATTATTTTTATCCAAAAGAAACAAATGCCATTTGAAAGAAAAACATAGAGTAAACATGATAATGTGAGTTGTAGGCAGATATGCCAATCCATGAAGAATGTATCTGTTTTTAATTTTAATATATTTAGCATGTTAGACATAGCAGTTTAGAGACTGTCACGTCTTCCACCACTATAAATATAAAATGAAGATTTTAGATTTTTCTTTTAATAATTCAGATAATCCATGCGAAGTGATGAAATTTAATGTTTGTGCTGATTATATACGTTAAAAACTATCTACAGCAGGGGATTCCTCCTCTTCATCGTCGTTGTTGTTATAAAGTTTTTGTAGATACCTAGAGATAGTTTGGCATATCAGCTAAAACCATTTGTTTACATATTATTTATTTACACTTTTTTTTTTCTTTTTTTTTCTCAATATAATTCTTTTGATTTCCAGAAATGGTACATAAATATTAATATTAATATTTCCTATTTGTCTTCATTGCTTATTTTTAAATATTGTTAGTGAGGGGGGCTGTGGGGTTCCGAAAACCAGTTATACTATTTTATTAAAAAATATTGGGAAACAACTACATCACTAAGAATATAAAGCTTTACAACATGTTAATTATATATCTAACCTGTGTTTAATATGCATAAATTAAACTATTTGGTGAGATTGAATTTCCAAACTCATCAGTGGATGGCCTTGTGTGATACAATGGACGTTTTGGCCCTTATCTGTTGGGTGCGGTAATTTAATCCCATCAAATGTTTATACATGCAGCTCCATCAACACATTATTTTTCTTTTCTCTTCATAATATGTATACATATATATATACCGGTATATATTTTATATGTCTTTTCAATATCAAAATAAAGGGTTAGAATTTAAACCAGTGGTCTGCTACTATGTTTGGAAAGGGCTTAAATAGGCTATGCCTGATGCCCAATCCATTTGTACTTTGACAATAAAATGTATTGAAATTCAACCATTTGTTTGCAAGTCAAGTTTCTGGATGGACACCATCGTATAACTTTGTGTAATCATACTGATTTTTATTTTGCGATTTTTATCATGTTTTCCTAGATGTTTGATTAATATCCTTATTATGTCATTGTCAAATTTGAGGGTCCAAAGATTGTGTGTTTTGTTGTGTTCAGTGATGATTGTGTTGATGGCATTGATGTCAGTTTCATGATGGACTTGTTGTTCTTGAGTCAATATTAGTGTTAAATGTGAATAAATGTTTCATATGTATTTTACCTGGTTTTTACCTGTGTTCTCCCACATTATCTGTATCATGTATGCAGTACTGTCATATACATATACATGTAGCTTTGATGTAGTCTATTTTCATCATTTTTAGACATTTTTTCATATCATGTACCATATTCATCAGCTAGATCATACAAAACAGTAACGTGAAATCCACAAATATATACAACCAATCTTTTGCATTTAGAGTGACATTGTGATAAATGTGCTTGTTATGGAATTTTTATTTGGTGCTTTGCTAGGATTTCTTAAAATCCTGGACTTATCTGTGATTTTTATTGACTTTCCATTATTTCACCTTTAGTAAGTTAGTGCTATTATATTAGTTTTATATCATGTATCTTTGTGCATGTGTGTATTTTATGAATATGATTGATTTGATCAACCAGCACTGAGTATTCCATGTGTACATGTAATTGATTCGTTTTATTTATTTTCATTCCCAGCTTTGCATCTGTTTTTGCATATTTAATAATAATACATGATATCTGTCTTTACTGATTATATTTGTCATACATTGCTAGCTAAATATAGTTCTATTTTATGAAATCTTTATATAACATACATGTAAATGTATAATAAAAAAATATAAAATTGATTTAATATGAAATTAATAAAAGCAGATTTTCAGTTAATGTATTTTGATGTGTTTTTATTAAGTAATAACTGGAATATTGTATATATTGATTCATAATTCTAGTAAATATTACGAAAAATCAGGAAATATATTTGTTAAATATTCCTATGACTAACACAGTATTTCCTATTGGTGAACAGGTAAATACAGGTAAATAATCTACCTGTACTATACCAGAACAGACTATAATGACACATCTATTGTTGTCCAGTGTTTATATAATTCCTTTGATCAGAAAAAAAAGTGGGAGAAAGGAGACCCTAAGGTAATTGCATTTAGGCTCCAGTGAGCACGCTTGCCGGACACGGGTTGCTTGTCGTCCGGTCCCCCTTCCCACTAATTACAGGCCCCCTGTGGCAATACGCCTATCGTGCAACAGACCACTAGGGTAATTGTTGGACTTGGGCCGCCTTATGATTTATTCATTGTCAATTTCTTGTGTAAAAAGACACCATCCAGTACAAATAACACGGTCATACGGTTCATACGGTTCAGTACTGTTCATAGTCTAAGGTGATACGGGTCAATTAAGGTGGCTCCACACATCGTCATCAGCGTCCATTTTCGTGACGTTCTTCCGGAAAAAGTACAGCTCGGACTTTATTATCTTGATCGAAATGTGCATGTACACCGTGTCGTCATTTCCGTATTGCGTATCGGGCATTCAATATCGTAGTGCAAATTATAGTAACACCTGGGCCGTTTTCGTTTAAACGGTCAAACCGATCGGACCACTGTTGTTCGTTTATTAAATAAGGTGGGACCTAGTAATCTGATGCTACTTTCAGGCGAGCCTTGAGAAGGCCTTGCAAGGCCTGCATACACATTTTCAGGTCCGCCAGGATTTATACTCAAAATTGTTACATTTATAAACGGTCAAACCGTTTGCTCCGCATAAACGAACAGGCCCCTGGTAAACAATAGTACACGTGCGTGCCGATGATATGTCAACACCCGATATCGAGATTTTACCGGGAAATGTATAATCACACGTACTTTAGGAATAAAGCTTTCCAATTCATAGATATAAACAGACTCACGGGAAGACAGTGACATGATACCAAACGACCTCAAGAAGGTCATATAGGAAACGCATGGAATGCGGACGTACCGACCTCACATGTGCATATCGTGTGCTTACACGAGTTCATAAGCTCGTGGTCGTTACGATTTTCATTGTTATAATCGTGTTTACAAATGTAGTCTTCTTACTCTGTGAAAATAATGTTTTGTAAAATATCAAGATACCTATGAAATGCATGTGTGAGTGCACGTGAGAACGGCATACCATGCGATAGCCTCTTGTCACATATGTACCTGACATGTAAATATAAATATACCGTGAGTTAGCGGACTGTGGAATGATGTCCAAAGTGTATACATGACTGAGGGTAACTTTGTTCCATTAAAGAACAATAAATTGATAATTTTGATATCATATTTTTGATTTATTTCCATCATTTTTGTTATATGTAAACAGAGTCAACTGTCATTGTGTAAATGTCACCCCTCTGCAAAAAGTTCCGATTTTTTTTCAAGGAAGATAACTCTCACCCGGATCGAAGTGATTATAAAATGTAAAATAAATTAATTATAAAGCCATTGTGTATATTTTGTTCAATTTCCCATTCTATATGTATAGATCATTGTGTCCTGTTTTCTTTTAGCTTGTAGATAATCACTTTTATCCGTACAAATTCAATAAAAAACACTTTGTGTAACATGTGTTACCTATTTTGCGATAAATAAAATATTTGTAGGGTTAATTAGAAATGCTTCTTTTCATTTTATTATTGTTGTTATTGTTCCGTACAATGCCACACACACAAAAAAAACCGGAAAATATTAAAATTGACGAAAATTCAATTTTTTGGTATTTTTCCCACTATCGGAAAGTTTAGATTTTCATAAAATCAACTCTGCGTAGTTGCATAACCATTATATGAAAGTTTCAACGAATTTTGCTGGTTAATTGCGAAAGTGGGGAGAACCCATGCCACTTAACATGCCTCTTTTTCCAATTCCTGTGTATAGCGGGTATAATTCACTCTCCATTATCATCGCAATCTCGATACATAACAATATTTGTGATCAATATCACACTTTTCATTGGACACGGCCATATACAGATAATTATCACCTCTTTAGGTATCCTGCTGTAAATCACACGTCTTACCTAGTTGCTCTTCAAACAATAGACCGTACTACCAAGGAATCTAATTTCTGAAAGGAACAATGGGCGCTGTATCGACCCTGATTTATTGCACCCCGAGTAAATATTGGCGATAGATAAGAATTATCACTCGTTTTTCGGAACATAAATCGATTCGAAAAAATGAGTGATATTAAGTGTGTCCTTTTGATATTTAAATTGTATGAATACTTACCCGTGTAGCCACCAGGGGCTCGGACATTCTGATCGTGGTGAAGGGTCGCCCAATAATATTCATCCGGGCTCTTCACCTCCTCCAACCAGACCAACAAGTCTTTCGATGTTTGGTTGTTTAATATGAAATCGACAAACTTCCTACTGAATATTCCATACGCACTTCCCTTTACTACAGAAATGTTGTGTGGTGGGTCCTCCTTCTTCTTGCCCGTGTTATGAAGTTTTTTGCCGATCACAACAAACTTTGTTTTATACCTTGCACTCATCATTCGACCGGGTTCCGTAATACCTTCGATATCATTAGCACCATTATATAAGCGGAGTATTTTCACCAGTTCTCTATTTGTTTTTAAAGGAAACTGTTGACTTGGTAAATTTATGAAATATTTCCATTTTACTTTTGCTGCTAGTAAGTCGCGCATACAGTTCAGGTCCGCCCTGAGTCTCGACATTCCTTCATATAGCACGTCCTCTAGTTTTGAAGTGATGAAGATGTTGTCAAAACATTTCACTATTGACCTGACAGCTTCATGAACTACATGTTTGGCACTTAAATCTACGTGTAAACAGTATATATTATGGGGTCTATAAATAGCTCGTAACAATCGTTCTGCCTGTCCCACGTCCTTGTAAAGGAGAATACTGTAAGCGACTGGGAAATTCCTTTCCTCGTATGAAACAGTTTCGATGCCCATATAACGTCTGTCACGTTTAAATTTGGCACAATCTTTTGTCAATTCTATATACAAATTTTCAGCTAAAGTTATATTCTTTACATCTGCAACACTTATCTGTTTTGCTTTATTTATTTCAGATTGATCTCCTTCTATTATTTTAGCACATTCTACATTCAATACCTGTCGCTGCGGTCCATTGAGACTGTTTTTAATCACGTGCACTGACGGAAATTCATTCGACGTAGACAAATTCCTAAGCAGATATGGTGATCGGATTAAGCGGTTATCAAGAACAACATTGTTTTGAATCAAAAACGTTATTATTAAGCCAAAAGTGATAAGCAAGCTTAAGATTTTTAATTTCCGCTTTTTCCACATTTTCCTGTCGCTACTTCATCTGGTAGACTCCTCTTCCTTGAATCGTACCTATAACAGAACAAAAATATAATTATAATTAGTATGAACCAAATCTCTTAACAATTTTCGATTTTAACAGAAAAAGATTGGTGTCTAGATGAATGAAAGTATTTTCGATCCGATCGTAAACGTGGCCAATTAAGCAGAGATAGATAATGTTAAAGCATGCTAAAAACTGGTATTGCTGAAGACGCTAGAGTGAGTTCACGTTTGTATTATTAGCATGTCCAGCTCGTCAACAGTGTTCATGTGACCGAGTTTAGAATCATGTTCCCATGTAAAGATAATTACTTTTGAGATTTGAGACACCATGAAATCGCCCTTGATTAGCCCAATCACCAGTAAATATTGTCGTCATGTGACAGGGAAGGGAGAAAGGTCCCGTGTTCAGATTGGGATATTTAAGTTTGGTGGGACAGTGAAATTGCCCTTGATTGGCCCAATCAATGTTAATGCTGCCGTTGAATTAACAGATGAGATATCATGGTCCCTTGTAAAGATTTTCAAGCTCCGTTCCAGTAGAAGACACATGAAACCCGTCCTTGATTTGCCTAATTACCAGTAAATTTTTCGTCATATCCAGTCCTTTTACATTTTGAGGAACACTACATTATGTTTTTACACCACTTCTTCGTGATATATGTCACCTTACTGTCACGTGTATATCTTTTTATTAAGTAGAATAAGTGTATATAAATGCGTATTAACTATAACATGTTAAATATATTTGACTCAAAAAAGAAACATATATTTTGATAGGATGTCGAATAAATGTATCTTTCAAATATTTAAAAAAAAACAAAAAAAACAGAATGCTGACAGTTCATTAAGCCTTTGGCAATAACACAGTAACACGCTATGTCAGTTTTGATTTGAACAAGTGGCTTTGACCTATATTTAACTAGAAATTATGAATACTACTACCAAATGAAACCCAACTCATGACCACGAGAAATATGCAGGTACCCGTATGCAATAATATATACTCACAAAAATGGGAATATAAGCTGTATGCTATAGTATATTTTCACAATCTATATTAACTTTGATACTTGTAATTTACACACATAAATAGACTCTATATGACCTACGTACTGCTACTGCTAGTTTGGCAGCACATTAATTCACTTAAGTGTTACAAATGTTTGACCATAATTTAATAATAATTGCCTTTAGTTATTCTTGATAACATATTTAGCATGACGCTCATCTTGCATATGGTCAAGATACAATTAACAATGTACAATATAAGATGAAAGGTACAATATTTACAGCTTTGAGAGATAAACATGTATAAAATACCGGATGAGAGAGATCATAAATCATTCCAAATAACATTGCTTTGCAGATTACTTAAATTCTGAATGTAAAGCACAATTTCTAATTCTATTTGGTAAAAGATTCCTTGAAAGACGCCCTCTAAAAATGTGTGTCGCAAGACAAGGCAAGTAAAACACATTGGTAGATGACAATCTTGTAGTTCTACCCTGAACATCAGACATATGCGTAATATCATTCAAATTATGTAGAGCTAAATTGTTAAGTATCTTGTACATAAGAACCGCTTGGTCGTATAAAATTCGTTTGTGAAAAGACAACCAATTCAGTTTTTTGAGCATATCACAGGAAGATATGATTTTAAAACGTTCGTATAATATATTTCTAGCCTAGGCTCCACGCAATACTGTCTTTTACCTAATATTGTTTTCAAAGTCATCCAAAACATAGATTGACACTATGATTCACAAAAGCTGTAAAACAAATTCAAACGATCCTCTCATGGCTCCTATACCAAGCGTTATTGTTGTACTGATCCGAAATTCGAAATTGCCGTCATGGCTTCTTGATTAGTTAACCTGGTGTTTAATAAGAAAACCACTATGTATCTCTAAAACAGTTTGATGAACAATGTAAATCATTCAAAATTTGTTGCAAACATTAGAAAACAGTAAACAATATTGCCGGTTTAAATGACTGTTATGGCATAAGCAAAAAGATTCTTAAAAAAAATCTTTTCAAATTGGTTTTTAATAGTCTGAAGCTTAGTTTAAGATTTTTTCCCACCGTTTTAGCCTTTCCTTCATCTTTTGTGCCCCTTGTCCCCTTTGACACATCTACTGTTTACCCAACCGCTACCTTGTGGCACTATATCACCTTGTATTGATAACAGTAAAACAATTTATTAACATCACATAACACGAATCTATTGACAACGACACACAAGTTGATAACCATAGAACAGTCATCTTAAGTACTAAGAAAATACCGGCCTTTTTATTGAAAAAGTGCTAGACAAGGTCCTAATTATACAAACATTTATAAATCTTTGTCATTTTCGTTACAAGCCGTGTGCATTCTTTTGAGCACAGGAGAAGAACATTAATCTACTTGGTTTCTTTGTAATTCTGTTATCAGGTAAATGTGGCTAGGTGAACTGGCATGACCTTTCGATCGTAGACACCGTCCTTGTATGACCACTATTTGTATTCTGTTGTGAAGAAGTTAAACCATAAGTTTTGACGTAACCCCAGTAGCAGCAATCTTCATGAGATGTAATCATAGTTATTTCTCTAGTTCTTCACATGTGTGTCTTCCTTTAAAGCCGGAAAAGATCAGCATATCACGCCCTAACGAGAGATAGCCTCGTGTAGAATGACGCGATATACGTCATAACAATAGTATGAAGTCACGTCAGCAATGTATTGACGTCATGTCAACAGTAGCAGACCGTGGAAGACAATTCTGGATTCTCTGGAAAAAACATGCAACCAACGCGTTAATTTCATGCGATGACCGCTTGTCGGCGGATTTGTGAGTGAAACAGGATGGGAGAAAAGCAATCATCCCCTACCTTGAGGGTGTGATACCCCTCTCACAAACTCTAATTCTCGGGTAAGACAATCAAGAATATCATCCCTCGGGTTGGAGATTTCACTGCCACTCCCTCAAGGTAGGGGAAGATTCTATAAATGATAGTTTGGGCAGTTTGCATTGTGTTGATGTCTTCAAAGGATCATTTCAATACTGAAAACACCGTTTAAGTCATCAATAATTTATATTCACATTTTCGTTCCAACCTCGAATTAAACATAACAATTAAACTGTTAAATTGAATCATAACATCAATTACTATTACACGCAATTAGATGCTTTACAAATAAAAACTGCTTTTGGATCTTTCCATCCCAAAGTTAAGTTATCTCAAATTAGCTCAAATTCAAGAAATTTCTGATGGACATTTTTCGTTTAACGGAAGCGGTTACCTTAGAAAACACTTTGACAGTTGTTACATCATTTGGTAAAACATTTTGTTTTAGGTATCATAAAAAAACAATCCAGAGAGCTATAATAGAATAGTTTTCTCTGTTGATTTGAACGTAACGACATGGATGTAAATGGATATTCCTGCTTCACATTTATAATGAAATCCATGACATGGTTTGTAGTCAAATGTATTGCATACCATCCTCAATATTTCAATTTGGCATTTTAACCATTGAAGAAAACCCCACCACTAAATGAATGTTTAACTTCATTTTGCTTTTGGTGATTTTGAATAAAGCAATTAAATCAATTTTATTACGTCAAGGCCACATATCAATAAAACGGTTAAATAATCGTCTGCAAATAGATCTGCAATGATAGCTCTCGGTGAGGTACCAATGTAATGTTACTTTTACACCACTCAGAACAAACGTAGAAAAAATGTATAATTCAAAAGCAATCAATGTGTCACATACCAAGGTAACGGGTGGAAGTGTTAATGGTGAACTTTGTTAGATTTAGCAATGGTAAACGAGAGCAGCCATTTGTGTTTTAAAAATGGTCGAAAGCAAGCATATGATACTTTGTATCATATCACAGGAATGAAATATGTATGTAATTATTGAAAACTTTACCACTGTCAATTGTATATCTATGTACTGTAAAGCGCCTTAGAGTGGCTTTTGTTAGCTAGATAGGGCGCTATATCAAATGTTGTATATCTATTTTATTTATTTAAAAATACTATATGATGGTTTTCAAATATTTTACAACTGACATAAACCTTGCTCTGTCACCACTCACCATAGGTAACTGATTTTCCAGAAAAATGTTGGCATTTGTATTGCAGAATGATAGACTGTAAGAGTCCTGGATATATGAACATTACTAATCACTATTTGCGCAGAATTTAAACAAATTTGATTTTCAAATGGACAAAAGTGAAAGCAAATACACGTACACATAAGTGTATGGATCCTGACAAGGATTCATACATCAGATTTTGATCGCTTACATTTACTTTACAAAGCAATTTGAAATATTGTCTTTATCATCAACGCTAGATACTTAATAAGATATGCTGATATTACATAATTCGGTAAGATCGATACAAATGTACCGATGCCGGAGAAAATAAAATCTTTCTATGGTTAATAAATCATTGTATAAATCTTAACGGAATTTAATAATTTATGGAAGCGTTTTAAGCTTAATAAGCTTATGTCACAATTGTTTTATTACATGACGATCGGCATACAGGATCATATACGAAAGACTACATTTGAGCCCACTGAGTCATATGGGCGCGTTTGTGGGGTTTGTAAATTGAGATAACTGAGACTGATGTTCCCACCTTTAGATAAAGAAGTTAGACAAGCTTTACTGTAATGTAAGCTCATGCTGATATTCGAACTTTACCGTTTGCCATAACGAAATGCGTTTAGTCGACCTTACTAAATGTGTTTTGTACTCAATTACATAGATTATTTAGGTACAGAACACAGTTAATATCAAATGTGTTTTGTCGGCCACTGTCGGCCATCGTACTAAAAGTTGATGTTTCACAGCTTTGTATTCTGGCTTCGTTTAAAAAGCTGTCAAGATTTTGTATAGTGTTGACGACATCTCTGTATCAGTATTTACAATAGAGTACTGAACAACACTATCATACCATCTCTGAACCCTGTTTTTATCACAAAACTATCCGAATTTGGTCGCATCTATAGATAACTTCTAGGTCTAAG